TGATGTCATTACCTATCATTTGGTATATTTTTTTTATAAATCTGACTTTTTACCTGCCCACAGTGGGGGATTTAAAATGACAATTTTTTTACAAAAAATTAATTTTTTCAACTTAACTTTTGAAAGTGTTCCGGAAAGTCTGACACTTTTATATATATCTTAAATTAAAGCTAATGTAATATACTTTATTATGAAAAAAAAAAATTTCGGACTTTATTTTATCTTCAGGGTGAAAATGGCTACCAAATGCTATTTTTGTGTGAAAATTTTCGATTTTGTATTTTACATTTTTAACTTTATTATGCTATAACTTATTGAAAAGTGTATTGAACAATATAATTTTTTTATGGGAAATGCTATTTTTTAATAATCCCTTTTTTATTCGACATACTTTATCTTAATAAGGATATTAATAAGGAACTAGCAGTTTATGAAGCTTTTGGAATAATCCACCAATTTTTTAAAATTAAACACTATCTAAAGATTTGCATCGAAGCGTTTTTTTTTTATAGTGATTTTAATCACTGTCAGATATCATTATACTTGATCCAACTATGCCACGTCACCACTGTGCCGCGACCCCCCTGTGCTGGGTTTTTCTTTTTTCAAAATTATTATTTTAGGAGAAATTAAATAGTCATTAATAAATAAATCACTTCGTATAGCTCAATTTAAAATCAGTAAATTTAACTAATTTCTTTTTTTTAAATTAATTTTTGTTATATTAAAGAAGACAGTAAAAGGTTTAAATAAATATAGAATCAATATATAATTTTATTTGACAATAGTTGTTATATAATTAAACACTTGTGTTGACAACTAAAAACACCAAAAAGATTTTTAAAATAGTTGCTCAAAAACTAGTAAATTAAGGAACCTAAATAAATCTAACATGTTTACAAAAAAATTATTTGATTATCACATTGTCATTTTATGAAAAATATTTTGTTTCACACACTTTCAACTAGGGATAACATATTTTTATCCTTCTATGACACAACTTCCATTTCTGAGGTGCCATAAGAGAGATTTATACTATGCTCATTAATCTGAAGTGGTAACTGTTAATAAATTATGTTCAATAAATAACCAGAATTGTTACATTTATATAACATTAAATTGAATAACTTAAATATTTGTATCACAGCCTTAAAAGTTACATATATCTAGTTTTAGTAACTTTTTTTTTTTTAATATTACTTAAAAAATACATAAAACATAACTACTACATTTAAAATGAATAAATCTAGAAAATATTCTGTAAATTGAAATACTTCCTAATACATGTTATTAGATAAAATAACATTTTCTCTCAACATAAAACAAAAATTGACATATTTATCTTTTGCAAATAATAATGTATAACATGACGACAATACAATTTTTTGAATCATGTGACTGCAGGTGAATCAGTAATATTTAATATTAAACTTTGAAGATTTTGTTGAGCATCTCTAGCTGTAACTTTTGTAAAAAACAGTTCAGGCTTTTCATGGATAACATATGATGTGCTGTCAAATTGATAATGTATACCCAGCACAATATTAAATGCTGACACATCAAATCCATGACAACCTGAATATCTGTACTGTGGTTTTTTATCATATCTACAGCCTTTAGTTTGTACTCCTATAAATTAAAATTACAAACTTCAATAATGATATCATTAAAATTTATATATCTTCATTTTTTTTTATACCAATTGGTGAAATACATTCGCTAATAAGAGCACATTGAATCCAGGGTAACATTACAGCTTGGTGTGTATCTTCGGTATTATAGACAATTAATTTATCTACTTGAATAATAGGCAAAAAGAAAAAATTTTCAGCAGGAGTATGAAAGTAATCAAACATTTTAGGATGAGTTATGGTTGTAGTTGCAATTCTTGTCTCCCACCCAATTACAGATTTATTTTGATATTTAGTAAAAAGTTTTTCAATATCTGACGATATTATTCGGACATCTGGATCTAGAAATAATACTGCCCCAACTCGATTTAATGCATCCTAAAATATTATGTCATTATTTATATGACTATACTTTTAACACTAGTGTAGGAATTCTAAGATTTCAATATTTAAGTATTCATACTTGCAAGACAAGAGGCCTATAAGCTTTAATATGTGAACTTCTGACATGAGATGGAAATTTTGATAAGCTAAACTCAACAATTACACATTTAGTACTATTGTTACAAAACTGTTTCATCTGTAAAAAATACTTAAGTAAAATGTAAAAAATTTAAAACAAATTTTTCCATCATACAAGTCCAAGCTGATATTCTGGTACTCCTAAATTGTAGATAAATATTAAATGGTTAGGCAAGTACTTGTTAACACAACGTGCTAGTCCAACAACTTGACCATGTTCATTATCCATCACATAAGTAACAATGAAAGGCAAAGTAGAATTATTCATTGGCTTAATCTGATACAGAGGTGCATTTGACACAAACCCAAGTGAATACAAATATTCATTGTTAACAACTAATTCTTTTTGTTCAGCTATCTTTATATTTTCCTAAAATTAATAGAAATATAAGTTTTAAGCTTAATTAAAATATATCAAATTAATATATTTACTTTGAATGTTTTTAAATTTTTTATTTGTTTATGAGTCTCAGTGACTAGAGTTTCAATAGCTGGCCTACTAAGGCTATCTTGAAATATTATAAATAAAATGCTAAGTGAAAATATCGCTAAAAAGCAAAATAACATATAGCGAGATCTCATTCTTATATAATATAATTTAATCATATGTCCTACGAAATATAAACTAAAAGTACACGATTATAATTTTAAATATTATATTATAACTAATGTAAATAATTTATTAATATTAAATAATTAAATTTATTAAATAATATTAAATAATTTGGAAAAGAATTCAATATTTGAACATTTAAAAGTGATTTACTAAAAAAACATTTTTTAGCAGTAAAAAATAAAATACATTAATTATTTTCACTAAGTAGGACTTATAATCAATTTTCAAAATTTCATAATCTTAAAAAAAATGTAATGTTACTTTTCGTTAATTATAATGAACATTGATAGGCGTTATCATTATTTTGGATTATTGACTTTTTTATGAATAATCTATTAACATAGTGTGATACGTCCTTAAACAGTTATTAAATAAAAAATAATCTATGATAATTTTTATTAGTCTTAGTTTCTGCTAGATCTATAAGTTAAATTGCTTTCTAATAATGATACAAAAAAATAAGTTACAAATATAGTCATAATCAAAAATAAATTGAAGAAATTAAGAATTCTTGTATTAAATCAACATTTAATTTAAAATTTCTGGACCTCTTAAAAATTTAATAATTAATTAATTTTTTTGTATTACGGGTACTTAAGTATTATTCTTTTTGTAAAAGGTATTTTATGTCTTAATAATTATAATAATCAATTAAGATAATTATAATAGTCAATCAAAATTGATGACTGACGCTGTTATCATAATTATTTTAATGTAACATGCCGAGTTTTCTTATCTTTATTTACAAAATAATTATGTTTTTTGTTTACTCATGCTATTTTTACCTCTAATCTCTCTAAATAAATAAATAAAACAATTTTTGGTAATTAACAATATAGTATAATTGTACTTAGTTATTTAAATTTTTAAGTAGAAATTAGTATCTATTGGTAATTATTTAACTTCAAATCATAAAAATAAAAAATTAATATTTTTATTTACCAAAAGATACCTCAAAGTTTTTAATTTTTGTATCCATTGTTCTGTTTAAGAACCTTCTTAAAAATAAATGAAATTTCGATGATTTTTTTTTTTTATTATCTCAGGTTTATCTATTTTAAAAACAATATAATTTAATTTAATTTATATATAATTATAAATTATGTACAAATTGTAGAAATGTAACAATACTCATTACTGTAGGAAGGTTAAATTTTTTGGGGGATTAAGCCCTCCAGGATCCTCAATCTACGCCTATGAAAAAATTGTAGATAGAAATATAAGGGAAGAACACGAAACGATAAAATAATAAAGTTTATTACAAGGTTGAAATTGTGTTAAAAAAAATGAATAGGAGTAAAAAACTACTATAATGAGTATAAAAATACAGAATTGTTCAGTTAACAACAAAGATAAATATACATTTTTTTGTATTATAGGTAAACCCCTCTTAAGAAGTCAGAACTTAACAATAACCATTCATTATGTTACCAATGGCCGTTTATCTATTTATTCTATAGACAACCATATTGATAAATTGGAGAGATAACTCGGTTCAAACTTCAGTCACTATTGAGTGTTGCTCTTTGTGCTGTCTGTGAGTAGTCGCCGGGTGTTCCATGCAGTATCTGTGAACCATGCGCAACGTAATTATTTTTGTGATCACTGCCGCTACTTTCGTTTTAGATCCGGTGGCTGCGGATTACGCCCCAATAATTGATGAACAAATTAATATCGTCCGGGACACAGACAATGACGATGGAGCCTTATACTTGACGCCAATGATCCGCCAAGGACAACTGGACATGGCCAGAGCTGCGTGCAAAGTGAAGCCAGTTAAAGCCAATATTGATAGTTATTCTGGTTACTTAACCGTCAACGATACGACCAACTCCAATTTGTTCTTCTGGTTCTTCCCGGCGGCCGTGTCGCCGAAAAATGCGTCTGTCTTGCTTTGGTTACAAGGTGGACCTGGTGCTTCCAGCCTATTCGGTTTGTTCAACGAACACGGTCCATTTTCGGTGGGTAAGACTCACGGGCTCAAGCTGCGAACACACTCTTGGACGACTACGCACTCCGTCTTATACATTGACAACCCAGTTGGAACAGGATTTAGCTACACCGAGGACGATGCTGGTTACAATACTAACGAAAGTCAAGTAGGGTTGAACATGTACGAAGCCCTCCTACAATTTTTTACTTTGTTTTCCGAATACCAGAAGAACGATTTTTACGTTACCGGCGAGTCTTACGCTGGTAAATATGTACCAGCCGTCTCATACGCCATTCATTTAAACAATCCAACATCAAACCTGAAAATCAATCTTAAAGGTTTGGCTATTGGTAACGGCCTCATCGACCCAGCCAATCAATTGATTTACAGCGAATATTTATATCAACACGGATTTTTGAGTGGTATGTATAAAAACGCAACAAATAACTTTTAAAAAATTCTACGTAATATTTTATCAAAAACTTTATTATTTCTAAAAATATATAAATTTTACTCATAAAATTTACATATTTCGCATAATATTCCAATAAAATAAGTAAAATAAAATTGTGATTTATAATTTCAGAATCTCAGAAATCAACATTCGAAGAACAAGAGAAAATCGCCCAACAACAAATCAAGGACGAAAAATACGAAGACGCTTTTCTGACATTTGATCGTCTATTGAACGGTGACATGTATCCGTCTCCATCGTTGTTCTATAATTACACCGGTATGACATATTATTTTAATATGTTGTGGGACAAAGAGCCGACACCATACGGCGACTGGGAAACTTACATACAACACCCGACAATGAGGTCCGTTTTACACGTCGGTAACAGGCCGTTTAACAACGGTTCCCTTGTCGAGAAACACCTGATAGGGGACATGATGAAATCAATGAGTTCGTGGTTAGCTACGCTGCTTGATTCGAGGTTATACCGTGTGTTATTGTACTCTGGTCAGTTGGACATCATCGTTCCATACGTGGGCACGACGCGTTTGGCCCAAGCATTGAAATGGAGTGGCGCCGATGACTTTAACAATGCACCCCGCACCATTTGGACAATCAACGGCGACGGTAACAAAACTGATGTCGCTGGATATGTCACAGCGTCTGGACCTCTTACAGTACTGTTAGTTCGTGACGCCGGTCACATGGTACCGGCCGATCAACCACTGTGGGGACTTGATCTTATTAATCGGTTTACTTCGGGGAAACCGTTTTAATTTTATTTAAATGTATTATAAACAGCATTGTTGACATAGTGTAAGTCACGTCTGTGATGTGAACTAATTGCCTAAATATAAAATTTCATATTTAGCCAAAATTTGGCTCCTAATTAAAATAATAATATATATATAAATTTGTATGCACTATCATTGTCACTTTTATACTTGCATAAAATAATTTTATAAGTTTGATATTTCCTTTGATTTTGTACTAAAATAATTTTTACTTAAAACTAGTTTAAAAAAACCAGAATAAGATCGAGTTTTAGATTGAATAATCACGTAAAAATTAAAAAAAAAATTTTTTGCTTTAATTATAAAACTTGTACGAATCCAATATTTTTAGATTTGAATTATTCGTTTCAATGACAAGTGTCATTATCAGAGACACTCTAGTAGAATTCAATGGAAATGTATAATCTAACAAAAAAATATAGATAAACAATTTTATTTTGTTTAAATTAGTTTGCGTATAAAAACATTTTGTTGTGTAATTGTTCATTTTTCATTTGGATAGCAGTGACTTATTCAGTTTCTTGTAACTCTACCTGTTTAAACGATGTAAAGTTAATAACAGATATACTGTAAAGACAACAAAAATATCTTTTTATTTTGTACAATGGTAATTCATAGTAAACCATTTTATAGACATTTGTTTTTCAAAAAACAATTAAGTTTCAATTTTAGAACGATCGGTTTGGTTAAATTACGAGAAAATTAATAATTAATTATTTCATTGATTTTGTTTTACATATTCTTAATTAATAAAACTCTATGTTAAGTACATATTACACTTTGAAAAGAATTAAAAAAATTGTTTTAATATTTTAGTAATTAATACTAAATTTTGAAAGCGTATTAGACAAATAAAAAAGTACAATTTTAAGATAGTTTCATTTTTTACGTATACAAACATTATCTGATAAAAAAATTATCTCGATTGTTGTATAAACGACGTCAATTAATTAATTTATTAGTTCCATATCAAAATTAATTTTAAAACTATGTTTAGTATTACTCATTATTATTAATGTGTCAGAAAATTCAAAAACTTTATTAAATTTTTTTTGTGAACAAAACAATCCAATATTTTTCGTGTTATGCGTTTTTTAAGATATTTAGATATTCGACTGGTTTGGCTTTGACACATTTTCCTCAAACTCATAATTCTATATTCTAATTATTTAACACCACCAGTATTTATTTCACTTATGAACAAATATTATTTATTTTTGATATTAGTTAAACAGGAAATATGTTAAACAATAATTATAAATAAAAACTTCAATCTCTCACAGGATTTTGGAATTATTTTTTCTCAACTAATTTGTTTAAGTATTTAGAAGAACACGTAGATTAAATAAAATAAATATAATTCCCAAACTAATATGGAAAGATCTGTTTTTCATTTAAAACAATAAATATCTGAATAAAAAATAAATCAATTTGTTATCATATTATTATTTTTTATCAAAATTGAGAAACTGGCAATGTCATGTTCGTTAACGACGACAGAATGACGAATCGATGATATAGTTTTGTACCGAAGTGTTACCAATCCACAGGTGTGAAATGAAATTTCAATTGATTTAATTGATGGAATATTCATGAACAATTAGTTAAAAATAAAAGTGAATTGAGGGATTTTTCTAAATCATGTAGCATGTTAATGATCTTTCGACTTGCTATTTGTTGTGTGATTATGCAAAAACCTGTTTAACTGTCATTTGGGGGTTTTCATGGCAGAAACGACCAGCGTTCACGTGACGCCGGTTGACCAATGACGTGCCTGGTCCAGGAACAATTGTGCTCCATACGTGGCACGCATGTAGAGACTAGAGCCAGCAGAAACAGCGGAAAAAATAGTAAATAAATAAAATTAAAAAAAAAACCGAGTCAACAAGAACTTGTACCATAAGCCGCCATCTTACTCAATACTCGGTTTTTTTTAACGTTGTTACGTACGATAGTTTGTTCGTTCACCGGTACTTCGAATCCTCGTTTGACAGTTTCACATATTAAGTAAGTAACGATTTAATTTCGCGGCGTTCCGTCCGGCAACACCCGTCGTTAGCGGTGGCGGCGGCTACTTAGGGTACACGTTGCTACAATCGGTATTGTCTCGTTGATAGTCGGTATTTCGGAATAAATATTTTAATTGAGGCTTTTGATACGAAGTTGATTGAGCTTTGAGTCGGTCAAGGGCTACCATATTGCTGGAAGCGATCAATTTCGGGGCTCGGGTTTTTTTCTACACCCTACTTGGAATATTAACATCACGTAAATTGATCGTTGAACCTTATTAAGTGATAATGTTTTCAGCCTCGTTTTAGTGCGTATTTACAACTGATATTAGTAAAAAAAAGAAGCTAACATTGGGTCACGGTAGTTTCAGGAAATTCTATTACATCATCAAGAATTTTTTAGTACTTTAGTGCTAATCATACATTGCGAGTAATTCTTTTCGTTTAATACTTTTGTTCATCAATCGTTACAGTCCTTTGTTTTATTTTTTACACTTCACCATTTATATTCCACATTAACCATTATGTAAGTAATTTTTTTTTTTGCAAAGTATGTGTAATTAGAAATATAAACACTGATATGTTGATTGAAAAATTAAGATAAAATGATAAATTCTAGTTAACTGTCTTATTAATTAGTATGTCAATGTTTATTTTTCAATAATTTACATTTAAATTAAACTTATATATATATTTTTTGAAAGTAGCAAAAATATACTTGCATATGAAAAAGTTGTATTTTATGATTTTTGCCAACAAGTTGGCGATTAAATATTTGTTGATTTTGAATTGAAGTCTTATAAAATATTTAATTACTATTGATTTTATTTGTTTCCTGTCTAATTCATATTTATCTGAGTGTTATAATAGTTAAAAAAGACTAAAACAGTATTAAGTTGTATATATATTTTATTATATGAAACTTTATATTAATCTATTTGAAAATGGTTAAATCTAGAGATAGTTATATAAATATTTTTTTCATTCTATTCAGCTAAATTATAGAACAATTAACTTTTAAGTCAATTTATTCAATAATAAGTTATCAATAATTCTATTTTTGCACAATAATAAATAACTTATATACAGTAGAACTCCAATTATCCGAATTAATGGGGACCGGGACCCATTCACTGACTAATCAAAATAAACAATGACAGGTGACTGCAATGCGCCGGAACTGGAGTGGGAACTCTTACCACGTGTTGTGCCTACACTGACGCCGCGGACTTTGGACAAATTTTTTTCTGATTTTTTCTGAAAGTGATTCGGATAATCGGCGATTCGGATGATCGGAGTTCGGATAATTGGAGTTCTACTGTATTTTAAAATTGTTATAAGTAATTTTTTCTTGATTGGAATAACATGTATGAAATTATTTAAAGTATCAACACAATATACATTCTTATTTTAATTAAAATATTATTCTAAGTTTTACCAAAATAACAAGACCATTATATGTTGTAAAAATATTTAGAATTTGACAAATAGACTCCTTTAAAATATGAAGAATCTAATAAAATATTTACTTATTTTTCAGAATGGGGAATGTTTTTGCTAATTTGTTCAAAAATTTATTTGGTAAAAAGGAGATGAGAATACTGATGGTAGGATTGGATGCAGCTGGTAAAACAACTATTTTATATAAATTAAAATTAGGTGAAATTGTTACAACTATTCCAACTATTGGTAAGAAATCAAAAATGTTAATATTAAACATAATCATTTAATATTATATATTTGGTGGATTTCAGGTTTTAATGTTGAGACTGTTGAATACAAAAATATTAGTTTTACAGTATGGGATGTTGGTGGACAGGACAAAATCCGTCCACTTTGGAGGCATTATTTCCAAAATACACAGGTGAATACTTATTAAAACATAAAAATGTTGGAAATTGTTGAAAATGTTCAAAAAATGTTGAATTGAAATCTTGGGTTTATTTTAAAATTTACGTAAAAAAGTACATTTCATCTTAATGAATTTATTGTGTTAAGTTTTTAAGACAAAAGATTTCTAGTGATACTCATTAATATATTTATTTTTATGATAATTAGTCATATTGTTTAAAGTTCCGTGATTAAACTATAAAACATTAATTATCTTGTTGATAAATGTATTATATAAAAATTTTGATTGAATTTATTTTTAACATATTCAATTTAACTTATCTATTATTAAATAGTTTTTTTATTTTTAGGGTTTGATTTTTGTAGTAGACAGTAATGATAAAGAACGTATTTTTGAAGCTAAAGAAGAGCTAATGCGAATGCTTGGTGAAGATGAACTTAGGGATGCAGTTCTATTGATATTCGCTAATAAACAAGTAAATATATAATTATATTGAAGTAAAACATGAATAATATAAGTGGTTAGAACATAGTAATAAGTATTCTTACAATATACATGTGTTTTCCTAGATTTTTATTGTTTGATTTATCTAATAGAACTTTTAAAAACTTATCTTAAGAATTTACTTTATATTTTTTAAGTTTTACGTAAATTTGAACTGTATATTCTAAGATTTTTATACATTATTTCAGGATTTACCAAATGCTATGAATGCTTCTGAAATAACTGATAAGTTAAGTTTACACACATTGCGTAATCGAAACTGGTACATTCAAGCAACATGTGCAACCAGTGGCGATGGTCTCTATGAAGGTCTTGACTGGCTTTCAAATCAATTAAAAAATGCCAATCGTTAACCAATTCTGGACTACATTAATATTATAAAATTATAAATTAAAAACATTTATTTGTAATTCATGGAAATCAGTCTAAGCTTAGAACAGACAAAACTTTTTTACTCCAGGCAAGTTAATATTATTAAACGAGTTCTTCTGATTATTCAGTATTCCATTTTTAAGTTTTTTTTAAAAAGTTCTATTATAAATTGATGGTAATAACAGTTAAAGTGAACCGTTTAATAAATATTAATTTTAACCAAATAAAAAAATTTGTTGAAAAAAAGTTAATAATTTCGATTACTACTATCATAACTTTCTCTTAATCAAATACATTTTTGTAACTATTTTGTTGAATTTATACATTGTTTTGTTAAATTCAACACATTTTAGCTTTATTTTGAAAATTTATTATTATTTTAGTTTAAAACACTTTTTTTTTTTAGTGTTTACATTTCTTTTTTATATAAATATATAAAAAATATATACTCCCAACCCGCTATACAAAAGTAACTATGTATAATTTGTCTTCATAAGTTATACTAAAGCTGAAATTTTTTGTAAATAAAATTTACTATTTATATTACCATTTAATGTTAAAAATGTGGATATTATTTTATAACATTGGTTTCATTTGCCCCATCCATTTGGTTTTAAGTTGTACATAACTGTTTTGAGTTATTATGAAAGTACAAGTTTATCGAATAAAAGCGGATAAATTTATTTATTTTTGTGCGTTTAAATTTGTATATTGAATATTTAAATATCTGTGTTACATTATATTGTTTAAAAATTATTTTTAATGCGCAGATAAATTAATTTTTTTTTTACTTTGATTATTTACATTCTTAAAATTATTTTAATTGTGTAATTTATTAAATATGATAATGTTAATCATATAATAGTATAATTACTACATTTTAAATATAGAGGGGTTAAAAAAAATGTGTATGAAATTCAATAAAATGATAAGATAATTATAGATTAATCTGATATGATAGTTCTAAAATTAAATATAGGAGCTTATGTCTATTAAATAATTTAAATTTAACCCAAATTAACCTGTTGTGCAACAGATTTTATTTCAGTTTACCGGGATTTTTATGAAAAAGAATATGAAGTATCAACTCTTCTATGATATTTATTATTGCTTATTGTGATAACGTTTTTCTAGTTTTTTTTCATATAAAAATTTAATTTATATGTATTTTTTGATATTAGCTCTAAATATTATAATCATTTTCTTAATTAAAAGAAATAATAATCACATGTAACATATTTGAAACAACCTAGTTATGACAATATTTTTGATTTTAAAGTTTAATAATATTGATAACTAATATGACTTTGAATGAGACAAATAGTTGGATTAAATACTTCCTATTAAGTTCATATAAAACAAAACTTTGAATGTCATTTTTTGGTGGGCAAATTTCAAAATTGTATTATTTTTATGTCAATTGGTTAGAACAACTTGATTTATGAAATAGAAATTATTAAGATGTTCATGTCCTTATGAAGTATTATTTAGTATTTTAAAAATGCCTATTATTATAAATATTGTATTTATTATTTTATAAAACCATTGATAACCTGTTAATTAGGTATATTGTAATGTCTGTGCAAGCCTATATTATTGTTGGCCTTATGACATTTTTTTTTAACCAGAAATTCAGATTTTAAAATTCTAATATATATATTAATTATGAATATATTCCACTTAAGTACTAAGTAACTGCAACTCTTCAAGGTAGAAGAATAATTATACTTTAAAATTTAGTCATATTATTCTACGTAACAACTAAAATATTAAATCAAATGCAAAACTGCTATATTTAATACTTTGTGAATTTTAATGGATACCATCAAACTAAACAATGTTTTCTAAATAGAAAATGATACATCATATAATTAAACGATCCAATTCTAATTATTCAAACTATTATAAAGTTGGTAATTTCATTAAAAAGAGATTCATACAAATTATACACAAATAATTAATTAATTTAATTTACTTCAATCATCTTTTCACAAATTTCATTTAAATGTATTTAAGTTAAACAATTAAATAATAATTATTTCTGTAAAAATATAAACTGAAATTATTTTTATGAAGTATTTTTTATTCAAATAACTATATTATTATTTCCAGAGTTTCTTAATAGACATATTCTTTTCTGAATCTTTTTGCATAACTTTAGCGACAGCCATTTCAAAATCATCTTGTGTTACATGGACACGTCTTTCTCTTAGAGCATACATACCAGCTTCAGTACAAACTCCCTAAAATTATTTGAAATCGTTATTTATTGACTATCTAAATTTTCATGTAAAATAAAAAAACTATTAAAATCTCGAGTTATATACCTTTACTTCTGCTCCTGAAGCACCTGGCATGAGTTCAGCAATTTTTTTTAAGTTAATTCCTCTAGTCAAATTCATTTTTCTTGAATGAATTCGTAAAATGTCCCAACGAGCTTCTTCATTTGGAGGTGGAAATTCAATTTTACGGTCAATACGTCCAGGACGTAGAAGAGCTGTGTCCAAAATGTCAATACGATTTGTTGCCATAATGACCTATAAGAATCAAATTTTAAATATTTAAAAATACAAATCAAAATAAACTTGTACCTCTTTATACAATAAAGATGATTGAAAACAATTAAGCTTAACACAACAGATTATAAACCTTATACCAGGATATGGCCATTTATAATATTCATAATATTTAATAAAAAGAGAAAAAAATTATTTTGAAATTGAAGTTGGGTTAATCCCAAGGTTTTATAATTTTAAATAAAAAACATCCCGATTTTTTTTTTTTTTTTTATATAATAAATATTTTATGATTAATTAATCAATCATAAATAAATACAATACCTTAATATTTTTGGTTGCTTCAAAACCATCAAGTTGGTTAAGCAATTCTAACATAGTTCTTTGCACTTCAGAATCTCCACCACTGCCCGATTCAATACGAGATGAACCAATAGAATCAATTTCGTCCATAAATATAATACTTGGAGCATGTTCCCTAATGCATAACAATTAAGATAATTAATATTAACTTAAATTCTAAGGATAAATAATTTTTTATTACTTATAAGCTTAAATAAACTTATTGCCTACCTAGCCATAACAAAAAGTTCTCTGACCATTCGAGATCCTTCCCCAATAAACTTTTGAACAAGTTCAGAGCCTGATACTCTAATAAATGTACATTCTGTATGATGAGCAACAGCTCTGGCTAATAAAGTCTTGCCTATAATAATATAAAAATAATAATTATTATGTTTTTTTTGTTTTTAATAATCTAAAAACCTGTTCCAGGGGGTCCATATAAAAGTACACCTTTTGGTTGAGCAATACCTAAAGCGTCAAATAGCTCAGGATGTTTAACTGGCAGCTCAATAACCTCTTTAATTTCTTTAATTTGAGTATCCAACCCACCAACCATTTCATAGGTGGAATCTGGTACTTTTTCAACCATCATAAGTGATACCAAAGGATCAACCTAAATGATAAGTTATTTCAGAACCATAGTAAATATATAAGATTATTATAAGAAATAATTATTTTAAAGAGTAGATTTTAGGGGTAACTTTTAAAAGATAAATAAGAACCCATCATTTTTTTATTATTAAATGAAGGATGGTCTAAATAAAATTATTATTTTTAAATTTAGAAAAAGTGAGGAGTAAAGTAGTATTTAGTGTTATTTTTACAATGACTCATAAATAAGATATCTTCAATTTAGCACACTCCTCTTGCCTATAACTAAAAATTACATTAAATTCAAAAACTAATTTTAATAGTAAAATAATAGGTAGAAGTCATAGATGGTCGAATAAATATATAAATTTGTTAGTAATACTTGAACAATGTCCTATAGCAATACATGACTTGTAATTATGTTATTTTTGAAATAAAAGTTGAATATAAGTTTTTTGAAATTGAAATAGTATAGATAAAGATGCTTGGATGAAAGGACATAAAAAGTTAATAATATGGGTATAAACGTAGCGAAGAAAACTGACCTGAGAAATAAGTATGCTTTTTATCTAATTAATTTTAGTGTCTCAAGTAATTTATAGCTGCAAGGTGGTTGTTCATGGAATTTGAATTTGTAAAATTATACTAATTAAAAAAGTAACAATATATAATTGGTTATTAACTAGTCATAAATTAATTTAATTATCCCAATTTAATAGAAAAAAGTAATTGTAGGTTCCCATTTAATTTTCAAAAGTTCCCTTTAAATCTATCCTAAGAAATAATTTTTTTTACAATAAACTTAATTTTCACAAGAACTTATAAAAGTAAATCCGATTTTAATTTGTGCATTTTTATAAATAAATCATTATTTGAAAAAAAAAAATGGAATATGTCAGTCTTAAAAAATCACACTACATATATGTTGATAAAATAATTTAAAAATTGGTTACAAAACAAATTTTTGTAAAAAATCTACAAAAATCACTAACAAAATATTATGTTAATATTACATGTTAGCAATTTTTCCTATATTATGTTAAAGGATACCTCCTTAGTAAAGCTAAGATTTGTAAATTAATTTAAATCCTAGCATATGACAGAAACTATAATTAATCAATTAACCAATAATTTGACTTAATATACATTTTAAAACTAAATATCATTAAATTAAAAATAATGTTCTATTATTATTAAAAATAAAAACTTCTAACCTTATTAGGCAAAATTTTATGTAATGTATAACTTTCGTTACGTAATGCAACACGACAATTAGGAGTCACATCATTAATGTCAATATTTTTATCAATATCAACAACAAATTTTCCTTCAGGATGAACTTTTACCAGTACTTTTTTTTTGTCCATTGGTTTAACTACTTCTCCAACATATGAACCTTGTTCTTGTAAGAGTTGTAATTCTTCTCTTAGTAACCTCACTATAATTGAAATCTTTATAAATTGTTATTACAATAAATCATTAATTTTTTACCTTTAGCATTAAGTTCATTTCTTTGAGCTTGTAAACGTCTAAGATTCATACTTTTTTCAGCAACTACTAATAGAAGTTCTTCAATTTTAGTGGTATAATAAGACTTAAATCCATCACCACGCGAGCATATGCTCTGATCCACCTCCATTAACTGAAAATTATAAAAGTAAATCTTAATTTTTAATTTATAATCATCTATAGTGTTATAAAAGCTACTTATTGAACAAAATTGTATATATTCTTTATATTTACATTAAATAATTAAGTTTGAAAAAAAAAAAAAAAATTAATAACTACTTTTAATAAGAAACAACTTAATATAATGAATTACAAGGACATCAAAATTATTACTATTTTTATTATACAAAAATATAGAATTCATTGCTTTATGAATTCTATATTGCTAAATGTGTTATATATGAAAAATAGATTTTAAGTGTAAAGTAAATGTCTAATATAATTACCTCAGGAGGATTTGGAGTCATATTTAATGTTTAAAAAACTTTCTAACACCTAAGAATATAAAAAAACTCACAATACAAATACTTGGAAATGTCTATTATGTATTAATCTAGTTGCACGATATAACAAAGTTTTCTTCAAAATTCACTTGTAATGATTCATTATCAGTATAAATTTTATCATAAAAGGTATACGCCTGTTATAAATTTCTTCTTCCAAGGACTGTTTAAAATATGCGTATATGAATTCTATATTAAAAATAGAATTCTAAATAAAATTTTTATTAATATATAATACAAACGAGAATGAATATGTCTTTTTTATTTAATCGGTTAAAATTTTTATTTCATAGTCACTGTGAAGTGGGGGTTTTGTAATTAGGCATTAGGTTTATATGTTCGTTCCTTCGTTGATAAGAAAAAAGTTTTAAGTTTAATTTTAAAGTGACTTAAAAAGTTATGTTGTAAAAATATAATTTTTTTTAATTATCTTTAATCGTTTCAAATATTTATATTTGCCATATAGATTCCTCTTTTAAGAAATACTCTTGTAAAATTACTAATTTAAACCATTTCTTATGAATATTTTTTTTCTAAAATTAGGATTGAACAAAAATATTTAAACAGAGCTATTCATTTTATAGTATGTTAAACACGCCCATTTTTCTTTGTATTTAAAAATGAATTATATAATAATACAAATTTTGTTTAGGCCATATATGCGATAAAAAAATTATAATTCAATTGACTTTTCATTCACAATTCAATATCATTTTTGTTGATTCAATTTAATTAAAAACATTTTTAAAAGTTTAAATTTATAAATAATTTATCAGCTGTTATTAAATAAAATTTACAACATGATACAGGCTTGTAAATTAATTCACAAACTCATTTACTTATCAATTAATTTGTTTTTAGAGTACATATATATAAAATACTTAACACAATGAAGAAATTTACAGTTAAAACATATTAACAAAATCATATAATATTAAGCCGTTAATAAACTAGCCTCTTTTGGAATTATATATATAATTATGGAAAACATTATACAATTTATAATAAGTTATAGATATTTCTAATTTAACATATTTTATGTGTCAAGTGACAAACATAATTGATAATATGTTAAAATTAAATTTCCACAATGAAACTACAAATATTTTATGAAAACATAAAATGATTAAACATAGAAATAAATGTATATTTTATCAATACATAGTAAAAGTAGAATAAAAACTTCAAAGGCATAAAAGACAAATATGTATAAAAAAATTAGGACACTTGTATAAAATTAAAAGGAAACACAAAATTATCACAAAAGTATTTGTTCATTCTACAGTTAAACTAAATGTTTCTACATCATTAAAATGTTCATTAATTGAACGTATAAAGGCTTCTTCTTGTGGGTCAACTTTTTTCTTTTGTTTTGTTCTTTTTTCTTTTTTGTCTGTTTTAAGTAGTATTTGTTGGTCATTTTCATTTTCATCTTCATACAAACTTTTATTATTTCGTTTCCTTCCTGGATAAGATCTTCTTGGAGCTTTCTCAAATCTTACAACTATATCTGCATCAATTTCAGCCATAATGTCAGTGATGTTTGTGAAATTATAATCAGAAGCATCAGAATTCATAGTTGTCCATTTATCATCAGATTCATTTGTTTTAGTAAGAGTAAATTCTTCTGTTATTTCTGATTCCTCTTCATTTTCTGGATCACTGCAAAATAACTCGGGCACATGTTTAAACTCATAGTCTTCATTTATTACTTCTAAAGACGGTTTAAGTGGTTTTTCTACAAGTATAGGTTTTTTTTCTTCCTGTGTTCTGATTGCACTAATATTGAGAATATTGCTATTTTCAAGCGTACGTAACGCTTTCCTTGAACTTCTTCTTACATATTTTGCTGGTGTAGATGCTTGTTGAGGAGGTTCAAAATTTTCATCAGCTATTGAAAACTCTTTGAGTTTGTCTATTTTTTTCTTTAGCCCAGAGTTATTTGTTCGGCTCATGTCTAAAATACAAATAAGAATAAATATATTTAAATGTTTTATCCTTAAAATAAAGTTTAAAATTTAATACAATTCTAATATTTTTATCTCATAACATAGTAGATATAATAAAAAAATGAATAATTAGATTATAATTTTATTAGATTTCATTTTTAAATGATCAATAATGGTAATCTGGAAAATACAATAAATACTGATTTAAATAAAAAGATGTTTGAAAAACAAATTAACTCTACCGTAAAAGTGAGAGTTATAACTTTGTCAGATAATTATTTTTTAAATTTTTATTTAAAGAAAAATAATTTGTAGCAAAAAATGTACAATTTAAATATATCATTCAAAAAATTAAAGATGGTAACCTTTTCAAAATGAAATGAATTTAATATTTTTATATCTATATATAAATTTTACAAGTAGTATATATTAACCTCATAAACTAAGAAACAGAAATAAAAAGAACATATCCTAAGTTGGAATATATAATTTAGTTTCACAAACTTCAAGCATTATGAACAAACATATGCCAAATAATTTAAATTAAATATTTTTTATTTTTAACTTATAACGTAAAATAAAATGTAATAATAATAGTTAAAAGTTAACAAGGAAAATTTTACCACCCATTTTATAAGTCAGTTTCATTAAAAAAAAATACACGTTTTCAAAACAAAAAGAATAACAATTTCTTCGAACTATAATTTGTTCAAAACTAATAGTTATTTTAATAAGTATTTGAAAAATTGACCTTACTTGTAAAGCTTAATAAAGTTGTAAAATTTAAATTTAATATTTCTAATTATCAAAATACAATCTAACTGAAAATCACAATGCTTGTTTTGTTTAGACAGGTTCAAGTTTAACAACCGTTTTGGGAGTATCTAATTTACTCTGTAAATCAATTCTCCTTGAGAAAAATCAGTGTTGTGTATTACAATAATTGGTGTTTCAGGAGAGTTTACAGTGCTGCCAGTAAAAAAAAGAACAAATATTTTTGATAACGTCAGATAATAGTTTCTTTGACAACCAGCAAGAGCGATTTCTAATTATCCCGAATTGTACTTGTTATATTGTTAATACGTATGTTCTAAATTTTCGTTTTGTGTCAGATAAAATATTACTATTGAATCATGGAAACGTATGAAAGTATATTACTTGTGAAAAATGAAGTGTTTGTCTTTAAAATACCACCTAGAACTACTAACAGAGGATATAGGTAAATGTATTTATATTGAAAAAATATTAATCAATAAGAATAATCTGTTAAATAAAAAAAATGTTAGCTTAAGTTAATTATGTTTATTTTAAATTTAATGTGATAATTTTTTATTGTTAGGAGCATGTGACTTTAAAATTTAAATAGCTATAATAAATAGAAATGACATCAATATATTATTTTAATTTTAGAGCAGCTGACTGGAATCTTGCTGAGCCAACATGGACTGGCCGTATGCGTATTGTCAGTGTTGGTGATGCATGCACATTAAAATTAGAAGATCGTAATAATGGAGAACTTTTTGCAAAGTGTCCAATTGATCAATATCCAGGAGTTGCCATTGAATCTGTGTCAGACTCTTCACGTTATTTTGTCATTAGAATACAAGATGAAAATGGTAATAATATAAATTTTCAAAAATAAAATATATCTATGTTTATATTGTACTAATAAATAATTATTTATTTTTAATAGGGCGTGCTGCATTTATTGGTCTGGGTTTTGGAGATCGTTCAGATAGTTTTGATTTAAATGTTGCTTTGCAAGATCATTTTAAGAGACTGAAAGTGTGTGAAGACATTGCTAAAGAAAAGAATGAACCTAAACAAGAATTGGATTTAAAATTTAAAGAAGGTGAAACAATTAAGATAAATATGAAAATCACTGTAAGTATATTTTTGTTAAGATCTATTGCATAAATGTTTTACAATCTTTCAAAACAGTGCATTTTATAAGCCAATGAACTGCCAATGTTCATGTTGCTTAATTGATTGTTCTTTTCACTTTTTCTTAATAAACTGACAAATGACATACATTGGTTAAAAAATACATACAATATACTATAACAACTTATTTATGTTGTAAAAATAATTTTTGAGTAAGTATTTGTTAAAAAAAATGTACCAGTTCAAACAAAAATAAATTTATATTTATGTTTGATATCACAGTATTTTATGATATAATTTTGGCATACTTTAAGATTTTAGTAGTTATTTTTTAATTGTTTCCTTTTAAAAAATATAATTTTTTTTTTCTAGAAAAAAGATGGTAGTGAAGTAAATAACAAACAAGCAAAACCTCGCACTGTATCTTCTGGCATAGGAGGTCTATTACCTCCTCCACCAGGTTCATCAGGAACTAAAACCATTCCAGCACCACCTTCTCAGACATCTTCTCCATCTCATCAACCAACAAATACGAATAATTGGGGAGAATTTGCTTCTGCTAATACTAATACACAGTCACAAAATAGTGGTTCTAATCCTAATTGGGTTCAATTTTAAGTTATTTGATTCCAAGTAAAATTTTGATTATTATGATTAATCTTTTTTATTTGTTATTTTTAATTTATTTATTATTAAATTTACTGTTTATATGCACATTATTGTAAGGATATTATTACTGTATAATATTTATTAGGGGATTATACAACATGTAAACTAAGTAAATCCTATTATGTTACTTTCAAAATTATTGATATTATTTGTTTATAATTTTATTATAAACATTTCTGTGGTATGTTACCTTTATATTTTATCCTATGTTTTGTAGTCTATACTTGCATTATCTATTATGTTTAAATAAAATTGTATTGTTATGTGAGTTAATTTTGTTTTTTGCACAATCCTTAACTATTTATTATTATATCAGTATTAATAAGATAGTTATGATTTCAAATATTATTTACTTGTGTATTTAATTAATAACTATACTTAGGTTATTATTTTATTTACTTATAAATTTAATTGTTATAATTATACAAATTTTACTTAGTCAAAACAAGTTACTTATTAGTATTATTGTGTCTTCCAGTTTTACTAATAAAAGTGTTGATGTACTTATGTAAAAATTTTCAAAAAATAATATTAATGAAATATTCTATAAATTTGTTACTAGTATTGAACACATAATTATTATATTGTTGAAATTATTTAAGTTATTTTACTAGCTATAATTTGTCATTTATGCCTAATAAACCATATTATACAATTAATAATAATAATAATAGAACTACGTTACTTTCTTCTTATTTTTACTTTTAAATTACTTATAAAAATATGATAGAATCAATTTATTTAAATTTTATTGCAGAAACATTAAATTGTCTTTTTAAATGAAAAATAACTGAATTATTTACTTTAAAATACACAAGTTTATTTTGTTCTAACATTTTTTTGTTTTAAGTTATGAACTTATAAAATTAATATCAAAAAATATGAAAAATTGATGAATTGTGGTTTTTAGAATTTTCATTAAAATATGTTTTAGATATTTATTTAAAGATATTATATATAATTAAAGATAATTTTCATTTATATTTTTGTCATTATTATCAACATTGGAAATAAATTTTTGTTTTGTAAAATTTAATGTAAGAGTTAATCGAATGTAATTTATAATAGTGAACAGAATTTCTGTTCTATGTATCATATTATTACTAAAATATTTTTATGATTCTTGTGATGTCAATAATTAATCTGATTAAACATTTTGCATAGTTCATTTTTGTCTCTTATTGTTGTCAAAGCACCATTTATAAAGTACAAAATTCAAGATATTATCGTCAACCATAAAATGTATATATTAAAATATTGATATGAAAACAAAACAATTTATTTCTGGTTGATTTATACAATTTTATTTAAATTAATAAATTATTTTTATTTTTACTTAGTTTAATAAAAATTTGATTCAATCACAATGACCACCAGTACAAAATATATCAAAGACGTGTATGTTTCAAAATTGAGAGAAATTATTTTCTTTTAATGTAATATTTTTTTCCACGATAATTAAATATTTCTATGTAATTAACATGATCATAATGCATCAATTATTATGATATTTATCAAATAAATTAAACTTTAATTTCAAATTTAAACATATTTGATTAATTTACATTTGTACATTGATAATAATTATAATATAATAACATAACAAAGAAATGTATAGTTTTAGAAGAATAATTGGTAAAATATGTAATGCTTTATAAAAAGTTACCAAGGTCTCCACATGGAACCAGGTGTATTATCTAAGTCTGTGTGTCTTGATTTTTCAGCCATTCTTATGTGATTAATGTCAAAATTGGTCTGTTTTGGAGATAAGTTTATGTAGTTATTTGTTGGGTATTTATTAGGTGTGGTTAACTGTTCCATGCGTCTTTGTAAGTGTTCAACCATACGAATTCCTGACTGTTGTCTTACATTTATCCGTTGTTCCGAAATAAGTTCTTGTACTTGATCAATACACTGTTTGAATCCAGCAATATAAATATCAGTTCCTGATGGTGTTGAAGCTGTACGTTTTAAGTATCTAACAGTCATTTCTAAAATATCTGCTTTTTCTAACTTGTTGACCCTGGATATTTCTTGTCCGTTCTAAAATCAAAATACTTATTATAAAAGTTTTCATATCCTTTATGGCACAAGCAATAGCTTTAAGAGAGAACGTTAAACATGATAAAAAAAAGGAATAATAAATACCAAGTATCAAAATCAAAACAGTATTTGTCTATTCAGTTTTGTTTATAGACGCATTTTACAAGAGAGAGAGTCTGACAAATAATTTGTATTTGAATTTTTTAAATATGGTCTGGGATTAACTTCATATAATACGTGTAATATAAATATATTGGAGTGCGATATGCTACTGACACATGCGCAACTAGAATACAATTTTTGAGGGTAGAATATATATATAATATATTATATTTATATAGTACCCTCAAAAATATATAGCTTATAAAACATACATAATTTTGTATAAAGATTTCATGGGGCTAAACGCTCTTTAATTCTCCTTCCCTATTTAAGACATTGGTTACTAAAAAATGTTTAAACAATGGTTTGTACTTACGAGTTTTTCAGCATCCACTACAATTTTTTTTAATTCATCCAAACTTTGATTTATTCTAGCTCTTCGCTTCTTTTCCATTAATGGTTTTCTAATCTTTAAAACATACAAATTATCTTATTTAATATTTAAAAATTTCTATTTTTTTCGTATTTCAAAATTAAAAATTTATTTTAAATATTTTTATCTAGAAATTTAGGCAAGCTAATAATTCATGTAATTTATTAATAATTGGGATAATGAATTTTTTAAAAAAAGCGAAATTTCAGATTTCATTAAAAATTAGACTAGGGCAAAGTTATCACTCCTCTTTTTTTTGTTCATTTAGCTTTTACGATTACATACTTCTAATCATTAGCTGAAACCATAGAAATGCTAAACATTAAGAAACCATAGAAATGTTAAATATTAAGAAGCCATAGAAATGAAATAAAATTAAGAAGCCATAGAAGTTATAAAAATTAAAAACCATAGAAATTTTAAATATTAAGAAGACATAGAAATGTGAAAAAAATTAAGAAGCCATAGGAATACTAAATATTAAGAAAAAATAGAAATGCTGAACAATAAGAAGCCATAGAAATTCTAAAAATTATGATATCATAAAGTCATTTTTTTCACTCAAATATGTTTAGAGAATTTTTGATATTTTTCTTATTATTATCTGTATAATTAAACAAGTAATAGATCATTTTTCCATCATAAATTATCAATATATATATATTTAGTACTTCAAATAATTTTCTAGTTTCATTAAAAATTATTATTTACTTCTATTTTATTAACGAATTTAATCTCCCGTAATAATCTATAGAAGAATATTTCCAACTAGTTAACGAGTAAATTCTCTTAGGAATATTCTTTCGTTATATTACTAGTTACATTACTAATATATCATTAATTTTTATTGTAAAATTTAATTGATGATTAAAAGCATTTATTTATGTTAAAAAGACTAAAATTTTAAGAACGAAAGTTGGAACCTCATTGTAATAAATATATTAGAATGTTTATTTAAGTTATTCTTACCTTTCTAGGTTCAATAAGTTTTGTCTTTCTTCTATTTATTGAAGATGAAGTAGAAGAAATGTCATCCATGTTGTCTTCGATGTCTGAGATATTTGTATAACACATTTTGTTTACTGCAAATTATAATTAATTATTTTTATAAGATTCTATTTAAAGATGGATAATATGTGTGGCTGTTTTCAAAAAGCTGATGTATTGCTTTCAACATTTTTTAAGAAAGCAAAAACAAATAAAAAATTTCAATAGTGTCTAACGGAAACTGAAATTTTATCTTTTGCAAAAAATGCAAAAAAACGACCCTTCTTAATGAAATTGAGTTGTAATTTTTGAACACGTAAAAGATAATATCTATCTCTATTCAAATTATAAAAGTCAACATTTATGACATACAACTTTTGTATATAACCCACAGAATTGATATAATATAGATATGCTTAGTGAATTCATTAAAGATCGTTATTAATTAAATTCGAACTCACTTGAAAAATTAACGGTTTCTTGCTATTGAGTACGCACAAGAATAGTATTTGATGAAGAATTTAAGGCGGGAAGATCACTTGTAGTCGGTTTAAACCATAAACATCTACTGACCCTTAAGATGTTGTGAAGCATCCGGGTACATAGCACATCGGGTAGTTATACACTATCCTTTTCCCTCGAAGACACAAGACCTGTTGGGGTTGTTGTAGTGGTGGTAAGAATAGTTGTACAAGTGGTAAGAGTGGTGGTGAAACGTGTAGACAGCTCGAGAAACCACCTACATTATACGACTTAAAACTCGTTAAAAACCCCTTACTTTCAATACGTATTTATATTAAAAATGAATTTTATTTTACTTATTTAATTCCAAGTGATCTATTTGAAAAAAGAAACCATAAAAAACAGTTACATATAATATATAAATGATTTGTCAATGGGTGTCTAATTTTCACTTGTTTAAATGGTAACATTTTATTTTATTTTTTAGCTCCACACTTACAATTTTTTTAGAGACCCTCTAGTTGATAATTAATTGAGATGTTTTTCGCTTAATTAATTGATTTTTTTTATTAAAAATTGCAGGGTGTGACGGGTTAGTACACGATTGCAAACTAATAATTACATAAATTATTAAAAATTTTTTTCATTTTGGTAAATTTCATATCTTATTTCCAGCGAAATAAAAAAATTTTCATCGATAATTTTTTAAAATTAAATACAAATTAATCTTATATTAACTGCTCATCTTATCGTTGAGGAATAGTAAATAAATTTAATTTTTTAAATTTTTACTACGTTGAAATGACTCATTAACATGGTAGATAAAATGACGACCTTCATTTTACAAATAACATTACAAAATTTGTTTTTTAAACTTCAATTGATAAGTAAATATGAATTTCTATTTCAAATCATAACTATAGTTACTTAGTTTTACAAATTATTTATTTCAAGGTATAATTTTCCAAACAATTTTGTTAACATTTTTCATATATAAAAACAATATATTAGTATTTTCAGCTTTTATATGAATGAAAATATATATAAATTGTTTGCCATGTACTTTGAATTATAATGTATTTTATGTTCCTTTGAAATTTTCCGAAAAGTAGATACATGTTAATACAGTTGGTAGTCAAATTACACGTCACCGTTAAAGACTATACAGTTTTACTTTTTATCTTTCTAAATCCGTTAAAAAACATCTTGATACGATTTCGTCGTATTTTGGGCGTACACGAAAGGTTTTTTGAAAAAGAAGAGCAGTACCGAACATTAACGGTCGATTTTTCTTTCTTTGAATTCTACATAGAATGGAATAACTATAATAGTACACACACACACACACACACACACACACACACACACACACACACACACACACACCTAAATATGAAATCGGAACCTGTTTTGAAATGGAAATCTTATGAAGAAGTGCACACATAGAGAAAACGGTGAATGAATCGGCCGGAAATGCCGATCCATTCATTACTGGGCGGTCCACCGCAACCCATATAATATTATCTTTTTTTTTGCCTTATTCACCTGCTTTTTCAGGTACCAATACTCGAAGCGCATTATCGACTACACGTGTAATTCTTTTGTCGCTTTTTTTACTCCGGAACTTAAATCCCATCGATCTTGGTCAGTTTTTGTCCTCCTACAACGTACTCGAGCTGTACCAAACGTGCTGAACATGCCTATAAACCTTTTGATTATAACGTTGATAGAATATAGGTGTAGATTAACAAAATAATAATCCATAAATGTCTTATTGCGGATTATTTTAGTAAAAGATAATAAAAATATCGCACTGTCTCTGGGAAAGGGCTAAATTTTTATAGAACATGGTAATTTACTGAAAAAATGAACCAAAATTTAAAATTCCGTAAGTAAATATAGTAGTAAATTTTATTATATTTATGTTTGATTATACTACAAAAACACAATATGATTTTTTTCAAAACAAATTTTTTAAATAGTTAAATAAGTGTAAATTTTATTCTAGACAAATATATTGAGGAGGTCAAGAGGGGTATAAGTGTTGAATTTAGAAGTATTTCTAGTACATGGTATTCAATTAAAAAACGTAATGGTAAAAAACGTAGTGTCTTTTTTATATTCATAAAAATGTTTATATCTTCAACTGTCGCTATAGTAGTGAATAATGTGTTACTTGTATTATTTCTAATGGTTTATTTATAAAAATATAATATAAAGGAACATTTTTTTCTGAACATTTAATATATTTCAATGGTACTAATACGGTACTAGTAGTGGTCAATACAAATAGAAAGTGTCCCTGAAGACACCGCCGAGATTACCAAATCAGATAACGTCACCTATACATCGATTGTGTGCCGAAATTTTGCAGAGTTGTACACGTGAAATGACATTTATAGAATTTCACACTGTTCTTTTGGTTTATTTTTGTAAACTTAAAGACACCAAAAGAACATTGTTAACATAAGCTGAATGGAGTTTTTTCATTCAAAATAGTAAATAGACGTTCGTTAGCAGCTGTCGCTTTTTTATAAACAACTACATTAAGGTATGAACAAAAGCACATTCTGTAAAATTTGGTTGCTCGATGTAGCACCAGCCTAAAAATGTTTCAAGTTAAATTTTACTAAATATTTACAACACCAATGTACTCCTTACAGTGATTGTTTATTTAAATAAGTAATGGATATGATTACAACAGCGTGTCTTAGCAATTGTGAAAATCAATTAATATTATAAGTAAATCAACAAATCCATTGGCAATCTGTCACTTTATTTCATGAAGTCAAAATTAATACTAAAATCTTCTGTTTCTACACGCGCTGTATGATTTTTAAATTTGACTTCTGGGTAATCTCACAATTAACTCTTGTTAAGTATTTCAGATTACACAACACCGAAAAACTCATAACTGCCAGAACAGCCCAACTCATTTCTACAACATTATCAAAAATGCACATTTCCGTGCAAATTTGTTTATAACAGGAAAATATTTCGGAACTACACGGGAAATAATTTTAAGATCCCAACTGTGTAAAATAAAAAAGTTCGATTTTAAATATTTAAAAAATTTCAACATTTTTAAACTTTTACTTTTGTTTGATGCTTAGAACTGAAATTAAGTTGACTACTTTTGCACAATTTGTGCGTACTCCATTAAGACTTAATTAAAAGTTAAATTTAGTTTCTTAGTGATGGGCAATAAATCAACTAAAAGTGATTAATATTTATGAAATAAATTCAAATTTTATGAAAAAGATTGATTTTTACTTTAAAAACATAACTAAAAATATTTGGTATAATGATAAAGTTCTCGATGCCAATCAATTCAACTCGCGATCAATTATGATTAAATTTGTAAACACTTTTTTTTATACACAACTTGTTGAATATTTACAATCTGTTCTACGTAAAACAATAGGTGTTAACAATAAGACGAAATAAAATGAATAGATAAGCGTACATTAGAGCATCCAGAAGAATTGTATTAGGTATATAAAATATATGTATTTTACAAACATAACGGCTAAGTAATAATCGATATATAAATATATTTAAAAAGTACAAAAATAAAATGCACAAATATACAAAGTGTTTAAAAATGACAATCTACAAGGACATTACAGATGATAATTCTATGAAAGTAATAACTACTTCAAAATCAACAACCCATTACGTTTTGTGACTGATTTACAGGAATAATAAAATTACCTACGACGAGTCCGAAATAGAATTTGCATTGAACGCGTGTCGCGGCGAATGGGATTCTCTAAAGGCAAAATCTAACACGATTCTCGTTAAAAGTGTTTGTCGCGATAATAAGAGAGCAGATGTTCGTTGACTTTGTGACTTCGGGTCCGTAGCTAATAGATGCCAAATAGGCCCAAAATTGTGTGCCCATTCAGTGTATTTGTCAAGTTAATAAAACCGTATTGGCACTGTACTGCGGGTGGGCGGTTTCACCAGCTGTTGCCTGTCCCGTTCAAAATGCACTTTAACGACAATGCACGGACAATAGCCCCTAAGAACCCTTGTAGATATATTTTTGGCAACGCTCATCATATTAATGTACACTTGACGCCCAGGCACATCAAATATTTCATTATCGCAGAACGAAATGTACACTCGATAAAAAAACGTTTTGAAATAAGGAAAATCTTCTGATGTAACTGCACATAATTGTTGAATACTTTTGAACTCATCTTTAATACCATAAGATATTTTATCAATCTCTTACACGCAGTTCATACATACTATTATAATGCATGTACGTTTGTAATAGCTTATTAGTTAGTACTTGGTAAAAAAAAAAAATAAATCCAAATTGCGTGTTAATAGATATAGTTTTAATGGGGCCCGTATGATTTGGATCTATTTAAATGAATTAAAATATGCAGTCTTAATTATATTTAGAAAACAATGGTATTTCTAATTTATTTATTCATTGCGTCCAAACAAAAGTGCCAGTGTTATAAGAAAAATACTCATTTTTGCTGATATTTTGAGATTTGAAAAAAAATAATTAAATTACTTCATTGCATAATACTGTATATGATTTAACTTTTAGTAAATAATGTTTAAATAAAAGTTATTATTGTTTAACTAACTATTATGTTTTAGAGAAGCTATTGATATTAGGTAGCTAGGACTAACCACTATCTTTACTTTTAGGGAGTTAACGTCAGTAGGGATCTCTTCATAAAATTAAGACTAGCGCTTGAAGTGTGCGAACTGTGGCCACAAACTAAGTTAATAATAAGAAAAAGGTTTTTTTCACTAAAAAAAAGTACCAAGAGCCTCGCAAAATCTTTTCACATAAAGATACGTGATCTTAATAGGGGAACATAGTGTTAGCACTACTTTTTTTATATGTAGCACCTCTAAAATTAAAAAATGTTTATAGTGTTATATTAAATAAAATTTAGGACAGAGGAAAAATTAATTTTATCACTTTCAAAAGTTTTGTTGAAATTATGCCTTGGGCTAGATTTAGCGCCGATCCACATAAATCTTGGCAATATATAATGGCGGCTTATATAGAATAATTGTGAATAACAAAGAAACCATTTAACCAGAAAAGAAATCATTATGGCACAAAGTAAGCCCCAATTTATTTTTTTATATTAAATCAACATGTCTTAGTTGTTTATTAGTACATAGATTATTAGTTATATCAGATTTATAATATATTGTTATGGAATTTTTATATGAGGTGTTTTTACTGTAAGGAGTCCCTTATAAATTATGTCATTATTCAAAACTCAAAAGAAAATTATATTTTGGTCTGACACACTAATAATAATCTAAAGTTTTGGTAATTTATTGGGAAATACACTGTAATAGTTTTCAAGTTATACCTTGAGGTGGTTAGAACAAATCTCCCTAAAACGTGCACACAATAATAGACGGCAGCCTTCTATGTAGAATCATGAAAGGTACACAAAAAATACCAAAAATTTTACAATGAAGATCATGTATAAGAAAACGTGTCGTTTTTCGTCTTTTTGCTTCTTTTACATAACTCAGTAGCTCATTTAAGGTATGAGCTGATACGTGACTTTCAATCGCCGTCACGCTTTAGCCTTTGCGGTAGTTGTCAGTGTTTAAATAGGTAACCTGCACATACATTTTGTAGTACAAGTACAAGATCATTAGAATACATTTTGTTGTGATTTAATTTATATTTATCTTTAAGGAAACACCTGGTTTAAACGTTAAAAAATATGTAAGTTGTTTTTGTGCGCTTATTACTTATATTTGACAGTAACTATAGGTTAAATTTTAGCGAATTACGACGGTGGTAACAAAATGATATTTCGAGTCATTTTCCCCTATTAAGAAACATCATAAAAGTACTCATCTTTGAACAGAATCTCAGAGCTGCAGCTGCTGTATTTTTGACCAGTTTGTTCTGACAGTATTTTCCACCTCATCGGATTGCAGACAAACAGTTTATAAAATATCATTTCATTTTTAATAAAACATTTATAATAGCATAACAATACTGTATATGTATGTGTGTATACAATAAGGAATAAAAGAACCCACTAAAGCGTGTGTCCTTTACAAATAATTGCTGAGTTTCATTGCAGAGGAAGCATTAAAGGCAACCGACAGCTAAAATTATGACAAAAGTTAGTTTTATTGCTAACCAACGACCATACAAAAGACAGCATGTGAAGAAGCCAATAAAGACTTATTTTAAAGGCAATACAAGTCCTTCATTCAATTTTTTTTTAAGGTAATAGTTTTGATTTCGAAAATGTTCATTGTTCATTTGAACTATAATCATTATTTTTATCTATATAATCCATTATCTATATATTATATTTATTATTAACGTCGTATGAATATTTCCGTTGTTTTAGAATGACGATACAATTAGTAGGTAAGTATTGAAAGTTACATCATAAGTAATTTTTATCTAACATTTCAATCGATTTTTAATAAAACTAACTAATTTTAAATCATTCTTAGAAATGTTTCGATCATTGTATTTTCCTTAAAGTATTTCAAAGTATTAGGAAAATTTAAAAAACCTAGCTGATTGATAGGTGTAAAGAGAAGATAGCAGGTGAAGATGATACTTGTTAAAGGATGGACGCCTTTAAAAAGAAGGCGTTCAACCAATTCTAGACTAGATATACCACTACGGGTATTATTCAAGAGCTTACGCATTGCATGTATATTTTCAAAAATAATAAAACCTAATAGTACAATATGTGATCTGTGATACACCACTACACATTTTATTAAGTTTCGCAAATTTTCGCTAAGTTCTGTTAAAATGTTTAGTTAAATAGAGTGATTCGCTGGGTTTAAAGATAATAAAATTATTTGAGACCCAATACTTTCAGCACATTTACCGTATTTCTCCAAAGTTTTATAATTTTAGTAAACAAGTTATTATTGTTAATTTGTATTTCTTTCTGTCTTTCGCAATGATGCGAACTGAGTACTGATATACTTGATATGCTATGAAAATAATACTGGCGCCAAAGATTAAACAATACTAATATATCTTTATAGATACACACATTACACGGTTTACACAATCCGAAATGTCCATGTTGTACACTTGTTATTGATGTTTGATTTTGTTTCAGCTGGATGTATAAGCGGCATTTCTAAAAAGATATCGGTAAGCGCCACAGTAGTCCTGTAATCAATAAGGACATGTGCAAAAATCCGCGCCCATTTATTGGATCAAAAGAAGCCGCAGCTATATATTATATACGTGGTTCTCATTTTTGTAATCGGGTGTGTTAGTAGGTATATATATATTGATGTATGTTTTTTCATATAACAGAAATAATGAGAGCACGTGTCTCTGGAATCTGTTTGAGTAAGGAATCAAATTGCTTTTTACATATACTGAAAAACTATCCCTTGAATTAATTACTATTGGTAATAATTTATTACTAACATACAGCTATCCATTGGAATATCCATCGAGTAAAATAAATAATATTAGACCTGAAATTCATTTTTCACTTATTATTAATGTCTAAATTAAGTTTTTAAATGAAAACTTGTTTGATTGGACTAAAAAGATAATGTAAAATGAAAATAATCATCTCAACTTGAATTATAATATGACAATATGTGCTGTTTGCGGACATAGAAATTTAATGTTTTAACTTAACTTAAATAAATTCAATTTTTATACATTTTTTTTAATTCGACAAAAAAAAACTATATTTTTTATCATTTATTTATTTGTTATAATTAGTCTACTAATTATACTTCGATAATATGTATGTGGGTATTATTTTTATGCTTGTCAAATTAAAATAGTGTAACTCAGCATGTGGGCGGTAAATGTATAACAGCAAAAAGAAAAAACTATATTTTTTTTTTGAACCATAGTTAAGAACGCGACGCCTGAAATGATTTAATCACAGCTGGAGGAAATCATTCGAGAGTTAGTGATATTGTATTAACGTAACAAGACAATGTTATCAAGAATTGTGTTAGCTAAGTATCCAATGTATTTCAATGATCACATAATTTTTTTTTCATTTTTATAGCCTAAACTTACAAATATGGATCTTCAATAATTATAAAAAAAAAGTACAGTATTCAATAAAATGTTTTATTTTTTTATTGAATTATATATTAAATATTACATATATTATGCACTCACAAAGATTATATTTGATAATTAGTACTAAAAGAATAATTAATTAAGAACGCATTATATGAGGGATTGAGGGATGCGAGATGTTTGAAGAAATTTATTTACTTTTATACAATTTTTTATTTATAATATTTCAGTGAACCTAGATATCCTACGGAAGGGAATTTCAGCTTGAATATACAAGATACAAGAAAATGTACAATAATACGTATACCCTTACAGTAAGCTGTAACTGCGTGTATAGATTACTCGATCATAAGGTGATACTTAAAGAAAAACTTCATGGTTGACCAAATAAAATCATTGTTCGTTGTCATATTTTATATTAACAAAAATCTTCAAACGATTTTGGTGAATGCGATGGACCCCCATTTGCTTATATCTATTCTGATCGATATAATGGGTAAGCTACACGGTTGAGCATGATCTCTATACATCACACGTTACACTACACATCTTAAAAGAAATGCATAAAACGATGTGCTGAATATATTAGTTGAGGACAAATGGATTGAACACACTGTGAAGTGTGAAATATCTTAAAAGTTGCATCGAAGCGTTAAAAACACAATAGTGGTAGCTGGTGTAGGACATCACACCTTTTGAAAAATTGTAAAAACCTGCTTAAACTATTCAGTTTAGATATCTCACTTTAACATTAAAAATTATATTAATAGTTTCTAAAAATATGTAAATAAATAAATAAAATTTCAGAAAATGTTATGGTAAATTATTTAATCAATATTTAACCACAAAGTAAGGACCTATAAAAATTTAATGAGGTGTTGTNCATCTCACTTTAACATTAAAAATTATATTAATAGTTTCCAAATATATGTAAATCTAATTTCAGAAAATGTTATGGTAAATTATTTAATCAATATTTAACCACAAAGTAAGGACCTATAAAAATTTAATGAGGTGTTGTTCTAAAAAAATTTAAAGTTATAATTAAGTTAAATGTAATAAATTGTTACATTTTAGTTTATTTAACTGAAAATTATAATTTATAAAATAAATTCTGTCAACATTTGTTTATATAAATAACATATTTTATACATATTAAGCACTCTAGGCTGTAAAAATAGTATTAAGATCATTTTGATTTTCACGTTTGTTATTTGAAAATGTATACTGAATATTTATTTTTGTTTGGTATTTTTTGCATTATTCCCAATTTTTATTTTTTAGATTCCATGAATATTAATAATTTTAAAAATTATCTTCTTTACCCTCAGTGGGGAAAATTAAGAAATGGATTACATATTATTGATGGAAGTCGTGGAGAAATTACAATGGACCAACTGTTTGATAGATTTACTGAAAAAGATTTTGTTACACCTCAAAATCTGAATGATAAAGTAAGACAATTTTATTTATTGTTGAGTTGCAATCTCTCTATGAGATTATTAACATATACAGACTTATTAAATTGTAAATGGACTGAATGTAAAAAACTTGCCCATAAAGGAAAATGTAGTTACAAAAATATAGTGGGAGATTTCATGTCTTTGACAAACTTCATTGTAGATTGGCCGAGTGGATTTCAAGTGTTTTCGAAACTTACTAAATTGAAATTTAAAAAATACCTTAATTCTTACATTAGCATTGTGGATGATTTAGCTTCATTTTATCATAGCGACAAATATATAGATAATAAAATTAGTGAGTTATATTCCAACATTCGTACTTTTATGAAAAAAAAATGCAGACCAATACAGCCAATTCCATCAGATACAATTCAATGGTACAACAAGAGTGTTGAAAATGGAATGTCTCCTACCAAAATAAAAAGGAAAATAAAATTTCTCCTTATTGACGAACAATTAAATTTACTAGTGTTGTTTTGGAAATTAGGTTTCTTGTCTACACCAAAAACTTTTGAAGGTTGATCTGAACATTTATTAACATTTTTTTTTGACGTCATTTAATTTAGAAATATATGATCATAACTTTTATAAGACAGTGTAAAATAGTTTTATTTTGTCAAGGTTTACTAGAGCACATCATATTTTACGGACTTTTGACCCATTAAACTTTCATCGTACATCTCAAATTTTTTTTAATGACACTTTAGTTGCATTCATTTATTCTGTACAGGGTGTTCAGTAAGTTAGGAAACAGTTAAATTGTTACAAACAATGAGTACAATAGAAATTCGTTTCCTTATTTACTGAANATTTTAATGACACTTTAGTTGCATTCATTTATTCTATACAGGGTGTTCAGTAAGTTAGGAAACAGTTAAATTGTTACAAACAATGAGTACAATAGAAATTCGTTTCCTTATTTACTGAACACCCTGTATAAAGGAAAGAATGTTTGCCAAAGAATTGTAATACCAGAACACTGATCTCGCAACTCTGAAATTAAAACATTCACGTCACATAAATCTAATTGGATATCGGTCAGCTCTCATGGTTATATTATAATAGTTTGATATTTAACAACTATGAACAGCACATTTTCACTAAGTAAATTATACAGAATATTACTTCCAATTTTTTTATGATTTGATTTATCAATTTGTTTGTTTTTTGTTACATTTTCTCTAAAATGTTTTTTTTTTTTTACTTTAATAAATATTATAAATATATTTAATTAAATCGTTTGTTATATATAGTCAAAACCTCTTAAATTATATTATTGTTTTGTTTATTTTTTTTAAAGGAGGATATAAGCATAATTTTTTATAAAGTATGATATTTTTATAAATATCATAAGTGGTATAAAGTTTTTATGTGTAACGTTCAAATGCCTAATCTTGTTTCTATAGAAACATTTTTTACTGTACACAGTAAAAATGCAAACCAAACACTGTTATGGACCAGGGATTGGAATCTCTATGGTTTTTAAAAACTCGCTTTAAAGAGATACCGGTATAATTAGAGATTCTTAAAAATTATTATTTTTGAGGGTTCCAGCCCTAAAATGGTTCTAATTTAAAAAAAAATTAGTTATTATTTTTTTGTTATTTTTTGAAGGTAAATATCATTAGTGTCAATTGAAATATTGATTTTACATTATTATTGTAAATAACCATGGGGTGCACTTAAAAATAAATAAACTTTCACTATTGTATTATTATATTTCTACAGTATATTTTAAGCAATAAAAGCAGTTTTCAAAATATTTTAATAGCTATTTATACATAACAGCAGCTTAAATAACTTTTTGTTATTTATGATATGTATAAATACTTCTTACTAGTAAGTAAAATTACGGTAATAATCTTTTTCAAGAATATTATCGGGAATTATCTTGAGAATATTTTTTAATGACATTAATATTTTTTTTAACTTGTTTTTATTATATGTTACATTATTGCAAAATGTGTCTGAATCAGCCATCATGTAAAAAGTTAGTCACTTATAAATTTATCTATTTAGCTTCAGATAATTCGATCAAACAAAGTGAGAAATATAGTCCAATTTGAATAAAAATTAACCAATTATCCAATTTTATGTTTTGAGTTTATAAACGCTTTAAAGTTATGTGTAGAAGTAATCAAATTTATACTTGACAATCAAAATAAGCAAATTTTATTGTAATTATATTAAAAACTTGTTTGATAGAAAATATTTCAATTTCAACTAAATGAAAGCATTTTTTGGGGAACTTTTTAATTAAAATTTTAATCTTTGAGTAACACATAAAATATTAAGCATTCATTGGAATGCAAAAACATTAAGAAACCATAGAATCACTTTTTGAATCAAATGTTTTTTAAAGAGTTTTTAATATTTTTATTATCATGCAATTATAACCAAATAAAAGAAGAAGATTCTTTTTCCATCATAAATATTCATTATTTTAAATCATTTTCAATTTTAATTAAATATTCTTAAAGAAATTATTTAGTTCCATCTTTTTAAAAATATTTTAGTTACCGAAATAATTCTCTCGAGAATATTATTTTGTTACATCATTATCCCTAACTCATAAATATGATATTATCATTATACAATATTTGTATACTTATTATTTTTTCATATAGTCTGTGGTTATACATAAAATAGCTCATTAATCGTACACTATGGTTTAGACTAATTTTAAATACCATTACAAAAATATTTATTAATGTAATGTAATTTTAGATAGGTGTCTTTTAAAGGATTATTTAAAATAAATAATTTAGGTTCCCTGTTAGGTTCTGGATTTTTTATTAGAAATGGTTTTTAACTAGTTCTTAAAAGTTTTTTAAAAGGTTCTAACTCCTACTACTACTAACTACTACTAAACAAAAGGTTGCCACTTTTAAAAAAACTTAACATGAAATTTAAAATTATTATCATTTTTTATATAATTTATAATATTGACATATACAATTGAAAAATTGTGTTAATCATAGTTTTATAACTTATAACTTTCATTAAAAAAATTTTCAAAAAATTATAATTCAACTAAAAATTTCTAAAAACACTCAATATAATTTTTAACCTGCCTCAAGACGTTTGAAATTATAGTTCAAAACATCAAAGAAATTTGTATAATGTACAATAGAATAAATATATTATTTTATTAAATAAATTAATATCGATATTACAGGCAAATATTTTATTGATCTATTTAATTAATTAGTTTAATAGCAAAATATAACAATTTTTTTTTTTAATAANTACAGGCAAATATTTTATTGATCTATTTAATTAATTAGTTTAATAGCAAAATATAACAATTTTTTTTTTTAATAAAAGTAATTAATTTTTTAATTCAGTTGTATTCACATAAAGATTTCTGAATAATTATTTGAGATTTACTAATGGAATACACTAGTTTAAAGTAATCTCAACAAATTCTATTTAGAGCTTTTAGTTTATTTAAGTAAACGTACGTTATAATTATAATGTTAAACATTTAAAACCGTTGGAATGGCGTTGAACGCAAATGAACGGAATGCACAAATGAAAACATTTTTCTATATAACAAATTATTATCTATATAACAAATATCTAGATGTTTTTGTTATTTAGTAATACTTATAATATATAAAAAAAAAGTCCGAATAACATGTCTTCTATATGTAAACATTCTGTAAATTAAAAAAAAAAAATTATTTGTGTGTAAAAAAAACTGTTTTTCGTGTTTTAATATTTTTCTACATCAATTTTTTTCGTCGATTATTTATGATTATACTATAAATTGAACAGTGTAGTCAAATAGGAGAGAGCATATTTTTTTACAAAAAAAAAAAAATATTTAAGTGTTAGT